ACCAAAAAAAAAAAAACGACCAAACTTTTTCCCCAAAACCCCCCCCCAACTCCAAAAATGTTCCCCAAAAAATTTTTCCCCACCCAAACCCCGGGGGGGGGGGGTAAACCCCCCCCTCGCACATTACTGGTGTATACATTAGGCCGGATCAATTTTTGAAATCCTGAAAATTGAAAACGTGGCATTGTGGAATCGATTCGTCTGGTCGAAATGAACATTTTTTCTTCAGGGAGCTATTGGTGAAGTGTCAAGCAATTCGCATGAAAATGAAGCACACTTCCCATTCATTTTGAATTTTGGGATGAAAAATCAAAACTTTTACCAAAGCTACTTCATAATTCCCCAAATTTTGAGTTATTCGATCTAGGAGGCTTTTTTGGACAAAATTGAACAAAACTCACTTGGAATTATAGTGAATCGAACGTCTGTATGACTTGAATACCAAATTTTTCATAAAAAAACCAAGAAAAATGAACGTTGGGTCGAAAAGTGATAACAAAATGTAATGTATCCACATGAAGGTCCCAGAACAAAAAATGTTCATTTCGACAAGACGAATTGATTTTGCCGCGTTTTGAATCTTCCGCATTTTAAAAATCGATCGGGCCTAATATACATTTTGTATTTAAACATTCATTGGGTAACTGCATTCATTCATTTACAGGAGATCTGAAATACATGCATTAGTTTGGTCGTCGCTTTTGGGAATGCCAACTGGCTGCTTATTCTTTGTTTTACTTTACCACCCACTTCATGATTTTTATGGTGTTTCGTCTGAAGCAATATTCGTAACCATTTTATTGGTATTCACAGTAATCGTTTGGAGATTCGATAGGAAATCTGGCCATCGTTTCGAAAAACCAGCCAACATGAATTTAATTTCAAAATTATTATTTGGACACTTTTTAGTTCATTATTTAGTTTTTTTGGGTACAGCAATTTTCTTTAATCCCGAAGACGCTGTTTCTGTTGGAATGCATCAGCCGATTGGAAACTGCAATGAAACCGAACCAGTTCATACGTTTTTAAAGGCAATATTTATTACCAATTTTTTTTTATTCAAACATGCTTTACGAAAATTATCTGCAATCTTTTGCCATTTAATAGACATTGGAACGACGAAAATTCCTTTGTGTCGAAAATTACGATGAAAAGTATTATGATTTCAAATGTTTGCAAAATGGGCGTGCACCATCAGAAGGAAGTGTTTGGTATACAGTTTGTGGAACACAATTTGAGTAAGTGCAAAACCATGACGGGCTTTAATTCAATACCGCGATGTGGTAGTCAGTTTGATGTTGCCAAAAAATTATGAATTCAAGCTTGCCCTCAAATATTTTTAAAAACATTTTTAAATTTTACAATTAGTATATGTATAATTTCAGGAATCGAGCTGAATACATAACAGTATTGTCTTTAATTACGTTCATCGCATACATGGTATTTATTTCAATACATAGCAACTGTGGTGATAAACAACGGCAACCAGTGGAGCGTTCTGAAAGAAAAAAACTCAATTAGGTGTCTAAAACTATTGAATTTGCTGTAAATGAGTCTTTGATTGAGTCATATTAAAAATAAAGTTTTCATCATGATTGAAAAGAAGTAGTTATTTTTTTTTTTCAATCCAGGTTCTTTTTTTATTTATTTTGTATTTTATTCCTATTTATGGCTACAAGAAAAATCAGTCTACAAAAGAAAAAAGAAATTTTCCACTGTTGTCAAATCTTATTGGCTAAGACATTTAATTAATATGTATTCATATAAATATAATACAAAGAAGTCTTTGTTTAAATTCTACATTTCGGTGTTTATGATATTCAAATTTTTCTATTAAAAACAATAAAATGTAAACACATTCACTGGGATTCACGCATCCCATTTTGTTCAACCATCTGTCATGCACATGCAAGCACATTGATTTTACGCAGTATGGATTTTTTTTGGGGGGGGAGGGGGTGTGTATATTTCTATTTATACTTAAAACACTATGATTATTTAGATAAATCATTTTCTTATTGATTCTAGATCCAGGCCGGCACCCAACACTCTTTCCTCTCAATCAAATGTGAGATTTAAAATTGTAAATTTAATGATTTTGAGATTAGTCGAAAATTGAAATTAACTTAACTGATTTAAAAATGGATTTGATATTCGATTTCGCTTTGCCATTCTTAATTTAATAATTTTGTCAAATTAGGTAAAAAAACAGTGAAGTGAATTGATAACTTTGTGCTCTTTTGGCAACAAAAAAAAAGAATGAAAAATTGCGAGAAAAAGTGTGCAGTTTAATGGTCTTTCTTCTTCGGCTTCTTTGGATTGCGTGATCGACTCTTGGCTTTGCACAATGGACAAATTGGTGCATTTCGATGGATTTGCTGATGGCACGATAAGCACGATTTCATTGGTGGTGGTTGTTGCCTACAGATTATAATATGAACAAAAAATCAGTTTTTGTTTAAAGAAAAAAAAAATAATATTTCTTTTTTATCGCCTCATCGATGAAATACGTAAAACAAAATAGAAATTATATTTTGAAAAGAAAATGAGCAAACATTTAAAATTCCGAAATGAAAAACAACCAAAACTTAATTAAGAATAATCGAAAGAAAAAAAACAAAAACGAAAAATAAAAAAAAATACCTCAAATTGACATTAAAATCAGACCTGAACGTCGGATGTGCCATTCCGATGGAAGACGTTTGTTGCAATCGATTCTGTGTTCCGCTAATTTCTGCTGGTTTATTCAGCCTCATTCCGACCGGTGGCGGTGGTGGTGCCAAGAATCCAGATGCAGCCGATGGCGGCAATGAAGTAACCGTGGCTTCTGGTATTAAAAAAAGGAATTAATTGAAAATCGTTTTTGTTTGATATTTGATGACATACCATGATGAGCTGACAGTGCTGGACGAGCAAATGTTGCTGATTGTGTTGTGTGCGTATTTACGATATTGCCACTGTTTGCAGTGCCAGTATTGCCTGTACCCTTAGCCGAACGATAGTACGATGACTGGAAGCGGCTATAATCGAAACATTGAAAACAATGAAAAATAACCGAAAATTGCAGCAAACAAAAAAATTATGATACATACTCAGCTGATATGACGGTTCCTTCCTCTTCATGCAATTCGGGTAATGGATTTAGGCCCAGATATTCACGACGCATATGATCAATTTCATGTTTCAATGGTAAATATTCTTCATGAACGCGATTGGCAATGTTTACCGAACGATTGCGATTCTCTTCGGCTTGTTTGATTACTGTTTCCATCTGTTGATTTGAGTGAACATATTAAAATTATTGCATTAAAATCCTATTTTGAATGTAATAAACACAGATTTTCTAGTTGATTTCAACGCATTTCTTCAATTTGCATAAAATTAATACTGAAATCAAAATCAGACCATTCGAAAAAAAATATCACAATTTTGTTAGATCAGTGTTTATCTATGGGTTTTTTTTGGTACGCAATGTATTTTGTTTGTACTAACCGCATTGATGTCGGCATGAATTTGGCGCAATTCTTCGACATGGCTCATTTTTTCCTGCAGCAGTAGTTCCATTTCACGTCTGTACTCTGATAAGCATTTTTCTTCCGAGTCACCATTTTCCACTTCGCGAATGAGTCGCATCTTAAGCTTCTCCAACTGGATTGTTTTTCCACTATTTAAACGAAAGCCAAATGAAGATTTTTGGTTTATTTTGGTGTGGCATCCAAAAAAAAAAAAATCATTGAATTATTATCGTTGCTATGCAATTCAGATGTTCATTTATATGATTCAATAAAACTCACCGGATATCTTTCATAGCCTCCAATTTGGCGTAAATTGTTCGTTCATCGACTGCCGTCATTTTCTTTTTATTTGATTATAATTTCAATACTTTTTTGTTTGACGGATAAATTCTAATCTTTACTACAAGATTTATATGCACTCTCACCGATTAAATGATTTAATTGTTGTTGTTGTTGTTGTTTTTTTTGTTTTCAGTTTGAGCTATTCAAATTGTCCAGCAACTAAAGCATTCAATTTAATATTCACGTTCAATTAATTCAGATTATTTTCACGTTTACACATTGATTGTGTTAGATTTCTTTTGTGTCTGTAAGGTATTTTGGAGGAAATATAGTGAATACATTCGACAAACAAATATAATCATGCATATCGAGCGTTGTGTGTGCGAACAAAAGAGACCAACATAGATATTTCACAGTTGCTCATTGATTTTGTCACATTACAGTTGTGTGAGTATATGTTTTGTTGAATGTATAAGTGTATGCGTGTCTAATTCAAAGACTAATGTTGCTTGTAAATGTATGAGTGCTGAGATTCATCCATTTTTATTTTTAAATTTTATTTTCGAATGAATCAAACAAGATCAAATTGTTTTTGGATCAGTGTTATTTTTCAAACAACACCATTTATTTGCTGCAATTTAAAAAATATGTGTCTGCTGTCTGGCATTTTATTGACCTTATTGATTAACATTAGCAGTATGATAAAGACAATATTAATTTAGCATTATTTGTATTTGAATGGTTTGAATGTAGTTGTTGTCATCATAAACAACATTGTCAAATTGTCGATATGTTTGTTGTTGATGCGCCGTGTTTCACTGTGTGCGTATTGTATTGTATGTTTACATAGTCGGCCGCCATATTTACAATTTACGTTCATCATATATTCCTTGTCTTTTATCTTCTAATGAGAACAATTGAGGCTTACTTCGATTTTTTAAGCATTTGACATGGCATCATGCATCCAAAGATCGATCAACGATGTGAACCGGTCACAATGCAAAACCAAATGGTTTCGTAATTCACCTATTTTTATTTTTAAATTTTATGCAACTTGATGGAAGAGAAAGAATTAGCTACAATTTTGAAACGGATCGAATTCGCTCTCAAAAATTTTGAAAAATACTTGAAAAGAAATATCAACATCCCATTCAATGTCGTGTATGAGTGTGAACCAGACCCAATATTCTGTATAGTCACATGAGACGTTCATAAAAAGGGGGAAACAACAATACCGACAACTGCATACACATATATAAATAATGAAAACATCACTACATGGACATTGATACGTCATTCAAAAACATTGACAACAAACAAGCGAAACACGGACACATACGGCAATCTTTCTTTCTCGTAAGCAACACGATTTCGTTACATTAGCATACGGCAGAGCAAAAGTTTCCGTAGAAACACAAATTGAAACATATAGACAGTGCGTGTACAAATTGCGAAGCAGAACGAACAACAGAAATAAAAATTATATCTTAAACTATATAACACAGGCTAGTGTCAACTTCTAACATTCTAATGGTATTATTCTTTCGAATTTTGTCGATCAATCTAATTCGTCCTTTCATATATATATAATTGAATCAAACAAACGGAACAAATTTTATACTCGTGGTATTCTCTTCGTTCTTTTTTCTTCAATATTTCTTTTTTATTTCATCTATTTTTAGTTGTTTTAAAATCTTTTTCGGATTTCTTTTGAACATATAAAATAGTTAACATAAATTCAAGTGTAATTCGGACGAAAATCGAAAAAAATCGAATTATATTAACAGTTTTTGTGATATACTTAGAAAACGTTTTTTTTTTGTCATTTACAGCTACATAGCCACACATACACGGCGACTCGTTGAAGAAAGCGGTAGCAACACTCAATTAATCGATTTGCGTATTTAAATTTTTGCAACGCAAAAACCAACTATAACTATACTACGACGAATTTCGTGGAATTGGTGAGAAAATGATGAAGAATCAGCAAATATTCGTAACCGTTTTGGTGTTGTCCATTTGTCAATGGTCAGTTATTGCGGGCCTAACCGATGGTGAGTTATACATATATATTTTATTGGCTTTTCCATATTTCCATGAATTTCGTCATTTCAATCAGTTCACGATGATTTCTTTACGTGCTATTTCGTGCATTTTGTTTCATTATCATACGCTCTATCACCATTTAATTTGTTGAATTTATGCATGCGGAGAAGAAGATGAAGAAAAAAAAAACATCATTGTTTTTTCCTTCATGTCGATTCATTCGACTTGTTTTCAGGGAATCAATTTGATTTCAGGTTTTGTGTGTATGTCCATTTTGATATGCCACCATCATCGACATCAAAAGTATGAAAAAAAAGAAACAGATAAAAAAAATCATAAAAAAAAAACACCGAACAATGAGCATTCAATCAAATCATGACCTATGCATTATAATTGCCGACGACGCGGCTTCAAATTATTATTTAGATTAGTTTTACGTAGTAATTTCCTCTTTTTTTTCTTCTTATTCGTTATTTGGTCGCCTGCATATGCGCGTCTTTTTTTTTCATATACATATTCGTTTTTTTTTTCCAAGAAATTTTAGTTTCAAACATCGTGGCATTTTTGCCCAGATACATGTACTGTAACAACGAATCAAATAGCACCAGCTCATTTATTCTGACGACGCAACAGTCACCACAGCAAATCAATCCGTGGATAGAACAAAAAAATAACTATACCGTTTGTTCATTTTTCTAGTTAATGTTGCTAGTCAGTTATTTCCATGTATGTAAAATACGCTTGTGTGCGATTGTGACGGCAAAAGAAAAGAAAAGGATATAATATGCCCACCGTATATAGCCACATATATGATGAATGTAGACAAATGCCAAGTGTTCAAAGGCATTTATGATATTTGAGCACGTCACATTCGTCGAATAGAAGAATACAGTCATACCTATCGAAAATGTTGGCTTTTTTTATGATCGATAAGGATCTTCTAAATATATATATATATATAAAACACGTAATCATTAGTTTGTGACATTAAATAAATCGATTTTTCTATTTTTTTCATTGGTAGAAACATCAAAAGGACCTACTCCACTGGTAAGGATCATGGACACTTGAATTACATGCTTTTGACTTTTCGTTGACTACAAATTATTTTTTTCATTTTATATTAGACCAATTTAACAACAGTTGCACCTACAGATACCAACACAACTACTTCTTCACCAACACCACCTCCAACGGTAATGATAAATTAGAAATGAAGAAATCTTAATTTCAAATATGACACTCAATTGCTCGTATTTCAGCGATTTTTTATTTCTTTTTTCAATTTAACTTTTCAACCATTTGAATTTTATGCTATTATGTTTTTTAACAGACTACTACAGTGGCACCAACAACAACAACAACAACAACAACATCATCAACAACATCATCAACAACACCATCGACGACAACATCATCAACAACCCCAACGGTAAGGTTTTTTTTTTTAAATCAAGTTCTCGAACTTTTTTCGAATTAACATTTTTGTTTTATGCTTGATTTGTACAGCCTTCAAACAGCACAACAGTTGCTCCATCGACAACACCAAAACCAACTCCTGCACCTCATCCATGTGGTGGCTTCAGTGGTTCATCATTCATTGGAGGCATCGTATTAACCATTGGTATGATTGCCATCGGCTTTGTCGCCCATAAAATTTATAAATCAAAATTCGACCGTAATTATCACACGCTGTAAGAGGTGGATGTATGTAGAATAACATAAAACTACAACAAACAACAAACAACAACAACAAAAAAAACACTCATGCAACACACATCTGTGTACATACTTGATTTCTCGAGTTTAATTTCCCTGTAATCTCAGACATTATATTTTTCTTCTCCAATCTTTTTATTTTTTTTTTTTTGCTTGTGTTTCTCTTAAGTGAATTTTGCTTCAAAGATTATGAATAAGACAAAAATTGTGCAAATACACGAACAATAATGAAAATAAAGAAAAACAACACTCACACTGATAAAAAGAATGTCTTTTCTCTAGCCGGCACCGATATAGTAGTCTGAGCCCGAAATTGAGATATTTAGTTTATGAACAGCAATTATGGAGCGATAAAATTTGTCATTGTAAGTGGGCGTAATTCGATTAAATATTAAAAACCATCAATTTATCTGGAGTAATTCAACGAATTCAAGTTATTTTCGACCAAATAAACTTCAAATCAATTAAACATATGTCAAATACAGGTTAATATGTTTATTTAATCAACATTTACATATAAACAGAATGATATTTTTTTTTATTCTCAGTCTCAATTGTTCATTATATGATTTCGTGCTGCCACATTACAAGTGTCTCACAAAATTGTGGCACTGTTTATGGCACGAATTCGTTTATGTTTACATACGAAAAACAGATGGCAAAACGATTTATTCATCATATTACGCTACAAGGTCAGTCGTTTTGTTATCATTGTATTTGAAAATTGACGTGGTGGCAATTTCAATCGTTTTCGAGCAATGATCCGTAAATGAAGACAGCCACTTTTCGGAGTTGTTATTGTTATTATAAAATTGGTTGTCGTTGTTATCAATCACAAGCTTATCATTTTTGGCTACTTTGTGTTTTTGTATTTCATTCGATATGTTTCATTGAATAATATCATAGATATGAGTGTAAGTATCCAAAAGGTATTTAACGTAAGTATCCTGACAAGTATTTAACGTTTTGACACAGTTCAAATACAAATCGTTTTACAAATATATCTTTGCGAATTATTCACAACAATCACATTGAGCTTGACAATCTGTTTTGTATTAGAAGGTTACTAAACAGAATTTCCGATGAATCATCCGCCTCAATTCATCGTTTGCAATTGAAATATCTAGATGGAAAACTGTTTGTTTCGATTGTAGTTTGACAAAATCGGTGTGATTTATTATTTATCGAACACGTATACCAAAAAGGTTTTAAGAAAAATGAGCAAACATTTTGTGAATTTGTAGAATCAAACTATTTTGACAAACGATTTTTGAGTAAAATAAACGAAGAAGAAGAAAAAACAGGAAAAAGTTTTCCGGACAGTGAAATAAAGAAACAAAAATAAAACTATAATCGAAGTGAATATTGGAAATGATAAGACCAATGACGCCACCAGCTGCGTCTCAACCAAATAACACAACAACATTCGGAAAAATTCGTTTGTTGTTGTGGAAGAATTGGCTTCTTCAAAAACGTCATAAAATCCATACAATTGTTGATGTATTTTTGCCAGTGCTATTTTTCGTCTTTTTTGCATTTTTACAAGCAAAAACTGGCAATACATCACATCCTAAAGTCACTTATCGAAGTTTGAGCATCGATTCACTTGAGCCCCTATTCGAATTCGAAAGAATGTAAGTAGAAATGATGGAACGCAATTCAAATTCGACGAAATGCCATGATTGATTTTATGATATTTTCGATGAACTAGTTTTGTGTGTACAGTTTTGTACAATATTGAATGCCTTATCTGTACCTAAAATAGTTCATTCGAAGCTATCAAAGTTGTCGTAAAAGTCATATTTTAAATGAATTATTAGTATTTTCAGCGGCTTTTCATTGTATCCTCCGATTGAGAAGAAGCAGTTAATTTTTACACCAAATAATGCACACTTCACCAAATTATTGACCATTGTTTCGAAAAAATTACAACTTGACGAACCCAGAGGTGTTAGCAACAGTGATGAATTGGAAACGGATCTAGTGAAATATGGTTTGATAGCCGGAATCGTATTTCATCATTCAAATGTAATTATTGCATTGTTTTCTTATGACTAATCGTTGATTTGTTGTTGTTCTACTAAAGATATGATTAAAAAAAACGCTGAACGAATTAATGAACATTTGTTTTATATAAATTTCACAGAGTTCCGATGTTATACCAAAAAGTTTATCATATTCGTTACGTTTTCCGAGCGAATTACGAATGAATGACGTGCCAAGTCACTTTCAACCGGATGTGATAAATTGGAACACAAACCGTCTATTCCCGGAACAACCATATTCGCCATATTATCCTTATGCAGACGATGGTAAATTGCCCTCTTATTACAAAGAAGGATTTTTGGCCATTCAAAATGCAATCGCACAAGCATTTCTTCAACTAAATAATGTGAATAAAACGATGCCAGATATTCTTTTAAATCGATTTCCATTTCCGTCGTACACGGAAAATATGATTGCCACACAATTTTCCATTCTGTTGCCATTATTTTTTTTGCTTAGTTTGAATTATACATTCATGAACACGATTCGATTTATTTCGGTGGAAAAAGAGAAGCAATTAAAAGAGGCAATGAAAATAATGGGTTTGGCCGGTTGGATGCATTATTTAAGTTGGTTCATTCGTACGATGATAATGTTGTCAATATCAATGATTTTGATAACAATTCTATTGACGGTAATTATTGAGAAAACAAATCTAAACTATAAACATTCATCTGAATACCATCATTTTTTTCCATTTCAGACATCAACAGTTGGAATCAAATGGATGGCACCCGTTTTTCCAAATTCCAGTTTTCTATGTTTAATCATCCTTTTCACTGGTTATGGCATTTGTTTGACAACATTTGGTTTTGTGATTTGTGCCATTTTCACGCAATCAAAAAGTGCAATGACTGGTTCAACGATTGTTTGGTATCTAACATCAGCACCATTTTTTATATTAAACAGTAAATACGATGTATTACCCGACTGGTTGCGATTACTTTCTTGTATCTGTCCAAATACAGCAATGTCATATGGATTTAAAATCATAAGTCATCTCGAACAAATGGATTTGGGTCTTAATTGGCAAACCGTATTTCAAACGACATCCATCTATGATAATTTATCGGTGGCGAAAATTTTTGGCATTTTTATGCTAACATCAATTGCATTATTTTTTATTGCATTATATCTTGAAAATGTGCTACCTGGCGGTTATGGCGTATCAAAACCATGGTATTTTTTATGTACGAAAAACTTTTGGCAAAGCTTAAATAATTATCAACAATTTGATAATCAACATAACGATTATGAATCATACGAGTTTCCATATTCAAATTCAAATAAATCGAATTTTGAAAGTGAACCGATTAACAAAGCGGTCGGCATTGAAATTCGTAATTTAACGAAACAATTTAAAAGTGATAAAGCGGCTGTTGGTAATTTATCAATGAATATTTACAATAATCAAATTACTTGCTTGTTGGGACAAAATGGTGCCGGAAAGACAACAACCATTTCCTTGTTAACCGGAATGATGAAACCAACATCAGGATCAGCCGTTATAAATGGCTTTGACATTCGAACAAATATGGATGTTGCACGAAATTCAATGGGATTTTGTCCACAGCATAATATCTTATTTGATGAGCTTACGGTTCGTGAACATATTCTATTCTATTGTCGTTTGAAGGGATTGAGCAATATGGCCGCCGAAGATGAGATAAAAAAATATTGTGATATGCTTGAACTAACGAATAAAATGGATACACTATCAACGGCATTGTCGGGTGGCATGAAACGAAAATTATCGGTTGTGATTGCTCTTTGCGGTGGATCGAAAGTCGTTTTTCTTGATGAACCTACTTCTGGTAACACATATTTTTTCGGTTTTTTCTTTTGAAATAAACATTGAACCACGGAATTCTTTGGTTGCAGGCATGGATCCAGGCGCACGTCGACAACTTTGGGACATCTTGTTAGCGGAAAAGAAAGATCGAACCATTTTATTGACAACACATTTTATGGATGAGGCTGACGTGCTTAGTGACCGAATTGCCATATTAGCGAATGGAGAGCTGAAGTGTGCGGGCTCAACATTCTTTTTAAAAAAACGTTTCGGCACTGGTTATCATTTGATTTGTGCAAAAAATGATGGTTGTGATTCGAAAGCGGTGACCGAATTGTTACAAGCACATATTGTCGAAATTCGTCTAGAACATGAAAACGATACGGAAATATCCTATATATTGCCGGAAGAGAAAAACGATTTATTTACAGAGATTTTTAAAGATTTAGAGCTAAATGAATCACGATTGAATTTACGGAGTTTCGGCGTTTCATTAACAACATTGGAAGAGATATTCTTGACACTTGGTAAATCGGATAAAATCAATGGAACACATAGTCCTGAATCAAATGGTTCAATAAGTGCCATCAGTGATACACGAATCACATTGAACGATAACCATTATTTATTGCATGGTGTTGCCTTGTGGCGGAATCAAGCGATCGCAATGTTTAGAAAACGTTTTCTTTGCTGGATCCGTGCATGGCATACATTTTTGTATTACAATTTATTTGTCATCTTTGTGTTATCGACGGTTATATTCCAGTTTGAATTCCTATTTTCAAACTCAAATAAATTACCAGACCTTGAAATTAGCTTTGATAAATACAAATCACCATATGCCATTGTGCCATTTAATGCATCCTCGTAAGTTTTCACAAATTTTTCGATTTTTTTTCGTTAACATTTTTTTTTAAATCGGTTTTTCCGTTTTTACTCTATTTTCAGCGAATTAAATGACAACATTACAACACAGTATAAAAAATACGTTGAACATTCGGCCAAATATTTATCCGTTAATAATGTTGATATGCAAGATGGTCTCTTGGAATTAGCCAATCAATCAATAAAACCATTCATGTTTCAATACTTAACGGCCATCAGTTTCAATAAAAATGGTTCAATTGTAGCATGGTTCAACGGACAAGCATTGCATTCGGCTGCATTAGCTGTAAATGTGGTGCACAATGCACTTGTAAAATTATTTTTAACCGAAGATCATGAAATTAATTTACAAAATGATCCACTCAAATTTCTGCCCAGAAACGATACAATACCCGATATTTTACCTGATGTTGATACATTCGGGTATTTCTTTTCGGCCGCTATTGGCATTGTAATGTCAGTATTATCCGCATCGTATATTACTTTTTACATTAAGGTACCGTTTGCTTGCACCATCCGATTTTCAATCAGTCCTAAAATGTATTTTGTTTTTCGATTCTATTTTATCACAGGAAAAAGAACATAATGCCAAGTTTATGCAGTACACCAGCGGTGCATATCTATCAATTTTCTGGGGTGCATCGATTCTGTGGGATTTGCTCACCAATACGATAACCATTTGTATAATTATAATAATGTTAATATTGGGCCAACATGAGCATTGGAAGAGTCCAAGCGAATTGGCAATTGTGTTTCTAATTCTATTTGTGTACAAATTTGCAATGATTCCGATCATATGCCTTGCATCGTTGATATTCACGAAACCAACAACCGGCATGAATGTGATTTCATTTGGAAATATTATTGCATGTAAGTTGACATTTTTTTATTATTTTCATCGGATTTTCATACAATTAACAATCATTTCTTTCTACACAGTGACTGTATTCTCAATAGAGACCGGGCTACATTTCATGAATAAATTTTTTTATTATATCTTGTGGGCTTATCCGCTCAATTCGATGGCCGATGGAATTATTAAATTGCCAAATCTTCATACATCCCAATTGAATTGTGAGTCAGCGTGCAAACTAAAATTCAATACAACTACGTGTGATTGGAGCAAATGGTGTGGTGAAGTGGCACCAAAATGTTGTTGTAAGTCAATCTATGGTGATTATTCGAACATGTTTGATTATTTATATGGAATGTCATTCTAGCTGATCGAATTTTTTCATGGAGTGATGCTGGTATTGGCAAAAATTTAGTGCTTATGATTTGCACTGGTCTTGGTGCATATGTCATTCTGCTTCTTATTGAAAGTGGTGCATTCAAATTTATCAGAGCGTTAATATTGCGTACGGTGCCTCGTACTTATCCAGAAAATGATCAAAGCAATCTTGACGACGATGTACGGGTAGAAAAAGAGCGCATCGACAAATTGGACGAGCGTGAATTGGCATCGGAAACGATGGTTATGCAAAATGTTTCAAAATTTTATGGCCAATTCTGTGCTGTTAACCAAATTTCAGTGGCAATCAAAAGGTATGTTGGTTGACTTTAGTTTTAAATTGAATTTCACAAAATTCACAGCGAAATTTGAACTCAATGAAAATAAATTATTTTGCAGAGGCGAATGTTTCGGATTGCTTGGTAAAAATGGTGCTGGAAAATCGTCAATATTTAAGGTAATGCCAGAAAACAAATGCACAAATTTACGATTATATTAACCAATTCTCTATAAAATCCCCTTAGATGTTGACTGGTGAAACAATGATTACGAATGGACGAATTTATACGCAAGGCTACAATCAACAAAGCCAACTATCAGATATTTATCAAATTATCGGCTACTGTCCACAGTTCGATGCATTACTGAATGGTTTGACGTGTCGTGAATCATTGGAAATATTTGCTCTGTTGCGTGGTATATACTTTCATCTATAGTTTCATTTTCCATTCCGATCCATTACGCATTGATTAATTTCCATTTTTTCCATTCTTTTCTTCTGATCAACTCTTAGGTATTCCCCCTCAAGATGTACGAAATTATATTGAAAATTGTGCCCGAAGTTTGGACTTTATTCAACACATCGATAAAAAAGTGAAACAATTAAGGTAAGCTTTTAGCTTTGTTCGCAATTGTTCGGCCTTTATTCAAATACATGCCCAACATTGATAATTAAATTACAACTCAATTTGAATGTTGTTGCTTTTTTTCATTTCGTTTTTAACAAATAAGCGGCGGAAATAAGCGAAAATTGAGCACAAGTCTTGCAATCATCGGAAACTTAAGCGTGATATTTCTTGATGAGCCTACAACAGGTGAGTCATTCCGTCTAATTAAGCGCATATACTTTATTTTAACTAATTAAATGGGGGATGTCAGGTATGGATCCGGCTACAAAACGTAACCTCTGGAATGTCGTAATACAATCACGCGAAGCGGGCAAGAGCATTCTTTTGACCTCACACAGTATGGAAGAATGTGAAGCACTTTGTACTCGAATGACGGTGCTTGTCAATGGATTATGCAAATGTCTTGGTTCATCGCAACATCTAAAAAATAAATTCACCAAAGGATTTGAATTGAAAATTAAAGTCAAAGACGATGAAAGACTGCCGTAAGTATTATTTTTATTTCAAAACAATTAAATTCTGAATGATTTGCATGAATAACTATGAATGTCTAGCGGTTTGACAAAAATCCAGTTATGATAATATCATTTTTAAATACTACTTAGAATCAACCAGTGATAATTACGGATATAATTAACGTCGCTTTGTGATTTTCTTTTTCTATCTCCTTTTAGCATGGATATTATTGAAGTAAAGAACTTTGTACTGCAAACATTCAGCGGAGCAATTTTCCGGTATGGAAACGAAATATTCGCTTTTTTCTTTACTTATTAGCAATTTTATGTACAATATTTGATTTTCGAAATGTCCATTTTGACATTGTTGTTTTTATTTACAGAGAAGAGTACCAGGGGATTTTGACATATTCTGTGCAAGGCGATAATATAAAGTGGTCATATGTATTCAGTACGATGGAAACGGCAAAGAAAACATTAAAGATAGAAGACTATTCGGTTAGTCAAACGAGTCTGGAACAAGTGGTTTTGGCACTGGTCAAAGATCAAGAAAATCGCCGAGATCAAGAATAAGAAATAGCAGTGACAGCCAAATTCCGAATATAAGTGTATCGTTACTGTATCTTTACACTGAGTGAAATCTCGATATTTTGTTCAATTTAACGAGCTATTTAACTCTTATTTTTATAAATGTTTGATATAATTACCATTGATTACAGCATAAAATCAAATTATTCGAGGGGATAAACACCAATTACCCATATAAATCATTTGCGGAGTAATTTGGACGATGGCGGGACTGTGCGGAGTTTGGCGGAGATGACATACAAACTCTGTGTGTGCGAGGGTAACAGCACTTCTATATGTATCATTCTTACGCAGATGATTAGTAACTTAGCTGTGTGAACGGCTACTAAGATGTTCGTTTGGACAAAATAAATCTATGAATAGCAAAGAATGCTGTTGTACTCGTATACACAGCATTTGCATACTATCTCCGCCGAACTCCGCACAGTCCCGCCATCGACAAAATTACTCCGCAAATGAGATATATGGGTATAAAACTTAAAATCATGTGAATTGGATAAATTATCCAAAAAGCTTCGTGATCATTCAACAATTTCTATTTTTGAATCAACAAAAATAATCTGGAAATGAATGGGAATAACAAAAAAAAAAAAAAAATATCCCCTCTAAATCAGCCTTAAAAACATGAATTTCATATATTTCTTTTTAAATTACACTCTTCTTTTAAAAGTGAAGTATATTTTGCTATCATTTTAGGGAATTAAACGAAAGCCGGAACATTCTTTTTGGAAAAAAATTCGTTGAGAGAAACGTTTTTTTTTTTTCGAAAAAAATGCTCCGGAATTTGAATCAAGATGAGTCATTTGAGACAATCTGTGAACGTAACTTTCACCCAAAACTTTCAGACTTACCGTAACTTCTGTTATACATATTCATTTGTTTGTTACGTATTTGTTATACATTCTTTTAAAAAAAGTCGTTTGTTTTAAATTTTTGCTTTGCAATACTTCCTTCCTTTAACACTACCAACCAAACTCAGCATTTAAACATTCTTACATTTAATTCATTCCTCTTCTCCGTTCTTTACTATCTGTTTAAGTGCACAAAGGAATCAATAGTTTGCCATTTTAGAGTTAATTATACATGCATTTTGTTACCATATTGAAATACAGATCAACTTTGATTTCAACGCAGTGCAGAACTGATCTCTAAAAGAGCTGCCAAACAAATGAACGAAATATGCATACTCTTTAAAATGGACATAGATCGTTCATAATTCAGCACATTTTACACTGATATTTCTTATACTTTAAGCTAATTTGTTTATGTTTACCAAAAAAAAACAAAAATAAAGTATTGATATTTAGCACTACAATTTTGTGACCAAAAAATATAATAGTTGTAACTAACAAAATACGTGTCCAGTGTCTGTGATCACCAAACGCATAATTTCATATATCATCAATAATAATTCATTAATTTTGACAAAGCTTCAGTTTTGTGAACAGATAGTAAAAGTTGCGTGAGCGCATAAAAAAGAATATGTCTTCATTGAATATTGTGCACAAGAGAGGCTTTTTTGTCTGTTTAAGATTGAATAAAAGTAATTAATTGTATAAAAAGAATTTGTTTTCTTTTTTTTTTCTTTAAATGAAGTGGTTTTGTTCGAACGCAACAATAACTCTTTGGCTCCGATAAAAGAAAAATGGTGTTAAAGACACGCTGAAAGTAAAAAGAAATATGTCCAAAATTTGGTATCGTTAATTATTAAATAAAATGCTGTCATGTTGCGTCAAACGACAACTAGTGAAAAAAAGATGTACACACAATGTGTCACGACCTTTCATCCAAAGTGAAACACCGGGTTTTGGTCAATGTTTTGTTTTGAACGGTATTATTTATTTGAAAATTGACCATATACAAATTGAACAATATTTTTGAAGAAGACAATTACATACAATTTGAATCCATTTATTATTCACAAGCATTTCAAAAGCACTTCAGCCTTTTATTGGAATATTCAAAATTTCTTCTTTTAAATTGCTGCATATAAATTTTATTATTATTTTATTGCTTAAAATACAAACAATCAATATTAAATTTGTTTTTTTTTTTACAATATATTTTCTATTTCATTCAAATCACATAATGAAATAAAGAGATTTGGAAACAAAAAGAAAATCTTCGAACAAAACCAAAATGAAAATACTTATTAGCTGAATGTGACATCTCGTCTCGTGTGTTGATGATCATCCTCGTCAGATGTTTGATGTTCATCAAATACAAAATCGGTGGTTTCAGATCGTGTGCTTCGTACACTTTGACGAGCTAATATTGCACTGTCACATCAATCCGGCCAGAGTGGAGGCGAAAATCATTGAAGATTCGCATAATAATGCGTGTACGTTGTTCGATAATTTTTGTTCGTGTATTTTACGCAAACAGTTTCAATGTCACAATCGATTTTCACATGAAATATGTTTTAAATCAGTCAATGGATTGTAATTAAAAAGCTTAGCTCCAAAAAATGAAACAAAAATTAACAATGTTCGTAGCGCGCGCATATGACATATTTTATGATTTTTTTTTTATTTTGGTTTATCAACTACGAAATGTACTATGAAATATGAAATGGATGGATGTCAGAAAACGAATTGCATTTTCATGTTGTATCGAATTTTTGCTTGCATAAAATTAATGTGGCAACCGCACGCTTTAGTCGCGATTATTGGTTGCGATAACAGAGGAAAATTGTGAGAATTTGCAATTGCATTTTTGCCGTTTGCGACATTGGAGGTGCTGTTTAAAAGGCTTGTTGTCATTGTTGTAACGGGCATCGTACATTTAAAATGCAAATTTCATTCGAGATCAATATAATGAGTGTTGCGTTTTCGTGATCCATTCACGAGCCAAATTGTTCAATGTCGATCTGTGGTAATCGATCATGTTGTCTCTCAAAATCAATGGGCTAATGGGGCGCAAAAAAAAATGTACACGCCAATTGTTTTCACGGGCATTGTAGCCAAATGAAGGTGCGCACACGCGCTCTCACACACACATTATTCACTCGTTTGCGTATTTAAAGTTAACAAATTATTAAGCATATTTTATCATTGTGATCGGGGTACATATTTTTGTTTTCTTTTCATCGTCGAATTGTTGTTTCTCTCAACGGACTTCAAATGAAACAAAAAGAGAGTCAGTCAATGGGTAATGTAAAAAAAAAAAACATGTTGTGTTCATTGTTCGTGTGTGTGTCAGAAAGAGAAAGAGAGAGAGTGTGTGTGTGTTTGATTTGTGACATTCACCAATGGCTTGGCCTGTTTACGTTGGATGATGACATTTGTTTGCTATAATTAGTGAAGAGGTCAATGAAGAGAACTTTGTTCAAAAATTTGCGCTGAATTACGGTGCATTTAATTGCGTATTTGCCAATTGGGGATGTGTGTGTTTGTGTATGTCTTGCTTTGTGTTTAAACAAAAATGAACATAATGTGGGTATAGTTTGTTTCATTATTATCATCAATTATTTAACTTTTTTTTTTTCTTCAAAAAGTGTTGTTGTTATTGTACTTCACTATTGGTAAATGCTTGCGCTTGTACACATCTTAATTTCTTTAGTTTTGTTTAGTTGTGGACAAACCGAGTCAAGATGTTGAGAGATTTGTGTGTTGCTTTGTAATTCGTTGTTTTTGTAGCAATACAATGAAATTAAATGCCTACGACTGTTAATGGAATAGCCAACAAAATGATAATAAAACAACAAAATTAAAACAACAAAACTACAATCACATTCGCAAAATCCAAGTAAAATGGATATTATTACCCGAATGCGAAAGAGATGAAAAATAAAAAACAAATGTTAAATCATACACTATACGTACAACACAGAAATTATACAAAACTATTCGTTTTATTCTCAACGAGCTTAATCCGAGCGCACATTGGCATGCACAAATGGCTAATACGTTCAAGTAACACGGCAATGAAAAGAGATCGACACACACACAAACACACATATACCGTCTGGGGCGGTGCTTAAAAGCATGGAAAAGCGAGACAGAGCCACACAAAACAAAGTGGAAATTTTTTAATTAATTGTCATTATTAATTCATGACACATACCTTGAACCCCAATTACTTTGTTCAGATATTATCAGTGAGTCGGCCGGCGCTCTATGAAGTGCAAGCATTGCGAAAACAGAGAGAGAGAGAGAGAGAGAGAAAAAAACATAAGACAAAATGGAAGAGATGAAAAAATAAATGAAATTAAGCATTTTTCGTGCGTTTCATTTTGGCCCGCGACACGAACCGTATTGCAAAAACCAACAACAACAACGGGGGGACGAGAGAGAAAGAACGAGAAAACAAAAGCCGAAACGAAACACAAAACAACAAATAAACTTTGAATGAAAATGTGTTGTCGCATTCGTCATTATTGTTATATGTGAAATTTCTTGGAAATTTTTGAATATTTGCCAAAGATATTTGTATGTATGCATTTTTTCGCGATAAAGTAATTTTCTGCACAAATATTGAAATTAAGACAGACACACAATCGCATATACATGGTCAGATTTCAATGACCGATCTAATCTCAAGCCGTTCAATACCCAATATTATATTTTTTCATATAAACTTTTGCTTGTTGTGATGTTGAAATGATTTTTGCTTGTTTTTCGTCAATTATCCAATTTAATTGTGGACTCGAGAAAATTGAGCGCAGTCAGAGTAAGAGAAAGGGTGAATAGAAAGAGATGAAAACCCATCGTTATGAATGAAAAACAAAATTAACGCAAATGCAAATAATGCATAATTCGCAAACGAATGCATGGCGTTTTAGTCGTAAGTGAAAAAAAAAGAGTAACAAATTAGATAATGAAGGCTCATTAGTGTTTTACAGTGAGTACAAATCTCAAGTACGGTGCACAATTTGAAGCACACGAAAAATTCCGAAGAAACAAAATAAAAACTACAACAAAAAAATGTCGGTTTTTTTCCTCAAAAAAAGGGCAGACACATTAAACGCAACAATAAACTTACTGATGGCTACTGGAACGTCTTAAACCGCGTGAATATTCCATTTTTTTGTAAATGGTTGCAAGTCCGAGAGCAATTGGTGTTAAAATTGCCCACAAGGACAACGATAAAAATCCGGAAAACCATAGCCCGTTCAATGGGTCAATTATATGATGACAAAATAAATGTCGATTTGCATCGAATATGTTGAACAACTGACGGCATGGTGCCACATTATGTAAGAGTTGTCTCAACGTTTCCCGTTTATTCAACATAAGATGTTCTTTAAGTCTGTGGAAAAAGCAACAACAACGATTAAAACGGTTAAAATAAAACAAGTTTACGAAGTAAATGGACAAGTTCTTGCCTAAATTTGAATTCAATACTTTTGTTGTAACAAATATTGGCGGAATCTTTGTTAATAAAAAATTGGGTCGTTTTTAAGTAGCTAAGACTTTGATTCACCATATCGGTCCATGGTTCTTTTTGTAATTGTAATGCCGTTAAATCGAATTGAATTTCGGTTCGTAAACGTTCCAACGGTTGTAAAACATTGGCCTGCAGTCGTCGTGCCCGGTTGCCCAATGTTGACATACGCGATGATGTTGTTGATTCTTGAATCTGAAAATGCCATTGTCTTTCATTTCAATTGAAAAATGCAAATGAAAATCCACCAACCTGAACCGAAACGCGTTGCATTTGATCGATAAACATGGAAAGATCCTTTTCTGGTGTGGGTCGACTAAGTTCAGTTCGATATGCTAAAAAATTGATCTCTGAATTGGTGTACATGTACGTGAGTATATTTTGTAAATCTTCGGTTAATGTGACAAACGACGAAGCGGACACGAAAATTTTCTGAATGAATGTCAAATACGATAATTTAAAAAAAATAGAAAATCAATTATAAGAAAAGTATCAATACAAATACCTCGATTTCATCTTCTAACGCATTGTGCTCTTGAAGATCGAAAATTTGTGATATATTCACAATGCGATCGAATTGAAACACTGAAAATGTGGCATCATTTTGTTGGCATCGTTCAATTGCGTTGGCCAACGTAATGTTGAGCAGTTTTGAGTCTTCAATTTCTGGTATATTCAGATAATCATTGACAATACCACTGTTCGTTTCATTTTTATACACCCAACCAGGTCGATCGAATAATTTACCAAAGACATTGTAGTGCGGGGAATCGAACAAAGGTCGACATAAAAACACTTCACCATGACTGCCAGCCAATAAAACTAAAATGTTGAAGGCTGCCAAACCAAAACTGCCAATGGCAATCAGTATTGCACTTATAATGAATGTTACTTTTGCCGACGCTTCGGCATGAATAATTCCGAGCAAAAGTCCAATTGACATCAGTAATGAAATGCACAGCACGGCCAAGGATACGGTCAACGATACGCTCCACAATAAATCGCCGGCATTTGTCAATCTTTCCATCAGCGGTCGCACATTTTCTTGATCGTTGTTCACTTTTTGAATTAGGCCATTTATCATTTTGCCGAGATCATGGGTTGCCGATTGTATTGAATCGGTTATATCGAGCAATGCTTTTTCAATGCTTTCCACATTTTTCTGCAAATCCATTTTTATAATCGATGAAAAATCATGGACTTTTTCCTGCACCGTTTTCATTTCCATTGAAATGTTTATATGACGATTATTTGCATGATATTCACCCAAATTTTGCATTCGCAATATATTCGGATCACTTTGTATCTAATGAAGGAAAAAAAAAAACAAATCAAATTCGAATACTCTCAATTTTTAGTTTGCAAACATAAATGATGCATATATTCTACAGTCGATACAATTGAATGAAAACGAATAAAGAAAGAACTAAAAAACAACAGAATTTCAACTTGTATTTTTCAGTGTGTTTTTTTTCCTTTTCCCAAAACAGCATAATGTGTTCAACAACAACATGTAATATAGGTCACCATAAAACTCGTTCTTATCTTACCCGAGTTAATATGTTCAAAATACCGTTCTCTTCAAAGCTACGTAATCGCAATGTGTCACACAATGGACGATCACGTGACGAGCATTGGCGTTGTAAAATGGATAGTTGCACTTGAAACTCTTCAATTCGTTGTGTTGCCTCTTTTGAGATGAGCACCGCTTTGCCTAAAGCATCCTGCAGTAATTGTACACGATGAATGAGTTCGAAGTTACCTGTACGATGCGATGAATGTAGGAAAAAAATTCGCTAGAGAATCACCGTTAAACAATTTAAATAAATGTCAAGAGTTGCATAAAGAACTCATCAATAAATCAATTTTTTTGTTATTCTCTTTTAAAATACGATTGACAGGTATTATTTTTTTGCGAATGCTATTTATAACAAATTCTCATTAAGAATACAAATATTTGCTTCACCTTTATCACTTTCGACTAAAATTCTAGTTTTGAAAATAGAATGTGAAAAATTCAACGAAAAAATCATAATCTTTAGATCGTGGATTGTGCGCATTTGAAAAATGAAATAAGCAAAATGTGGGACAAAAAATATACGTCCGTTTCAAATCCAAGTATATGGACACTTAAAAAAATACGTTTCCATTAACTTATCTTTTGTACGTACCAGAGCATATGCGTAGAATAGATTCGAGGGTGGTTTTAAGGCCGGAGTCTATTTCGATTTTCTTTTGAATTGGGTCACCCAGTAATTTATCCACATCTGGAATCACATACATATAGATTAGAGTGTATCTTAATTTGTATTGAAATTTCTTCAAACTTTCGGTATATTATTTTTTGCAGAAACAACATTCTGTGCAAAGTTTCATGTCATTACAACATCAAACAGGCAATAACATCAAACTTCAATACAAAATTCCAAATTTTTTGTGATTTTTTCATGAAAAAAGTGTCGAAAATTATTTGTATTGCAAAGTTAACGCCAGATTCGGCTTTCTCGTGCCAAAAAAACCCCGATTTAAAGTGCTCAAAATTCACCAAAATTTGATTTTTTGGAACCGCGCATCACCAAAAATCATTTTTTTTTTTTCGAATTCGTTGTTATAATCATGTTTCTATTACCTTCCTACAGAGGTTATAGGGGTACGATTTTTGATTCTTGAAAAAATGTCAAAATCAAACCACTCTAATATAGATATCGATCGTTAAGATTAAATTGCGATCGCCACTTACTTTCTAAATCATATTTAATTCGTTCGGTGGCTGTGCTCATACCTAGGGGAGAATCGTAAAAGTAAATCGAATAAAAAATAATCAAAATTAATGTGCTCATACCCTCGTGAATAGTGTTGATGATTTCTTTGTGAGCATCTTTGCTAAATGTCTCTACGTCTAATAATGATGATTTCACAATGTTCGGGGTGTTTGTAATGGTCGATCGAATGAGTTCATTTGTTATGAACATTATTATAATGAAAGCTCTGAAATGCAAATTATCTCTTTGTTGAACTTCTTCTTTTCTCTCTCTTTCTCTCTTTTCACATATCTCTATTGTTTTCTCACTGAAACGAGGTCATTTGCATACTTACACTAAGAATAAGCTAAAAAATTGCAATAAAAATTGTAAAGCACGACGGTAGTAAAATGTACTATCAATGTTCGTATCATCGAACGATATGATTGGATTTGGTTGTGTTTCATCGTTCAACGGAGATGGTGGTAATGAAATCGTTGCATTTGGATTATCACTCGAACATGCCCATATCAGAAGCGTTAAAATTGGAATAAATGCAATCAATAGAAAAATCACCATCAAACCGATGAAACCTGATTCAACTTTTAGTGCCTAAATGGAGATAAGGGAATTTTCAATTTATTTTCATTGATTAAATTAGATGTTTTTATATACAGAATGGGAGGATGTATCAACACATTTCAAACTTAGCGCGCTACTTAGTTACGATTTGAGTTGTTAAATTACATTGACGTTCCCTTTGAAATGGGGGGCGCCACCGTCGACTCAAAGATACTTGAACTATACTACACATCCTCACATTGTATGTACATTTTATATTGAATTTATTTAGTGCATTTTTTTGAATGGCAAGAATTTTCCACGACAATTTTATCGAAAAGAACAAATGTACAAAAAAATGTTAAAATAATAACACACACCTCCCAAACTAGATCCACTGCTGACACTTTGGTTTCGAAAACATTTTTCAACAGCTCAAGTATACAGTTAACTGGCGTACCGAAAGTACAAAAGAAAAAAAAAATCTCAGAAAAACAAGTATTTTTCGAGGAGAAGGTGTTTCATGAGAAAAAAAAATGAATTCAAACTTTGTGAATTTTCCGTAAAAAAAACTTGAACTGTGTGGATTTTGAAATAAAAAAAACCATACCGACGGTTAAATCACGAGATGTGATATGGGTCAAAAAAACGCCAATATAGCTGAATAAATGTCGACTGTCTTCTGGTCCAATTGTGGCCGGTACTGTGAAATGTGTTACCGATGTGTCTCTGTTATCATTATATTCAATGAATGTATCTTGTGTAACAGCGTTTTCAATCATCTTTAAACTAAGCGAGAGAGTAAGATCGAGAAAAATGTATGTCATTCAATCAATGAACGATTTTATCCATGATTACTTGTTAAAATAACGTTCTTCTTCATTGTACAAATTGAAATTTTTGATTCTCGTGAAACAAACAAAATAATTTTCTCGAAAATTAAACAGTTTAGCATCAATTTGTTGATTATATTGTACATTTAAAATATGTAAATCAAATGCAATTAATTGATGTTCACAATTTTTTTTACACAAAATAATCGGCACCGAACAATTTATGGAAAATATTTCAACAATACGAAACCGCATCGAAGACTGACAAATTTAGGCCTATCACGGCGTCATTGTTCACATTTTTCCACGCTCACCACTTGCATTAACTTAATTATAACATTTTTTTTTTTTCGTTTGGAATTTGATACCATCGCACATCAAAGACAAATAACAAAACTATCACATTTACATTGCTCGGAATCGGGGTGCTTCTTAAGCGCAATTGTATGCCATACAATGTATGCTTCATGTTCGATATGATGTTGGCATTTATGGAGCAGCATGCCAACGAAATGAGCGAAAGTTTACAAAAAAATTCCATTTGGCCGCTGCATATGTTTGCTGGGAACCATACAATACATCGATAAAATAATATGTGTCGAAAAATTTGCATAGAAATATTGAACTGCTGTGGAAACCATAGAAATCTTAAAACACCCCCTCACATATGTCACACATGCCATGGAAATGTCATCAGAGCTTTCACACACAATTATTGTGTCCGTTTATTTTCTGTCAAGCATGTACATCAGATAGACGACAGTTTATTTTCAATTTTTATTAAATATTGCTCAGCGTTTTTTGACAAAATTTTGATGTGCGTTTTGTTTTCAAAATTTTCCGGTGTTTTTCATCATGACATTAATTTCTTTTCCTTAATTTGTTTGTGTGTTTTTTTTTTCTAAATGTTTATTCGACTGATCGTTTCGTTTCGTTGAATTGACGCACGCTAAATTCCATTTGCTTGACCGTTTCTTTGAACTTATTTCTTAGAATCGCCACACAAATCCATAGTCATTTTACGATTTGTTTGTAAATGTATAGGCTGTAATAAAACTACGTCATTTTGTAGTGATCGAAACTCGAAGCAATGCGATCCATTATGCTGATCAATTATTTGTGTGATTGTATAATTTTTTTTTAACTTTATATTTTCAGTTCGGTTATTTTGTTGTTCATTATTTTCGTCTTTAAATCCGAACACTGAATTGTTTTTCATTAAAAATTGAATGATTGAATAATGAGTTTGGTTGCATTTACATATTTTCAAATCAATTTATTCAATTTTATCGAAAATCGAAGTACAATAAAAGGGAGCCTTGTGTTAATAAACAGTTGACGAACAAACAAATACACAACAACAACATGAAAACAGGGGATGTAATAATCGTTAAAAGCACGATAAACTGCATTTAATACACTTGAAATATATGCAAAGATCTCATTACGTTTTCATTTTTACACACAGGGAAAGAGTGTGAGAGAGAGTGTGTGTGCGTGTGAATGTGTGTGTGGGAGAGACAGAGAAAGAAGGAGACAGAGACAAATAAAAAAAAGGCAACGGTTAGCAGTTCTTCATTAGCACACAATCAACAAATTTAACGAATTGAAATAGCGAGACCTAGAAATAAATGCGTGCAGAGTAGAGCAACAACAGTCATCGGGGGCATGGGAAAGCCAACTAAAGTACTGATATAAATTGGAACCTCTATAGCACTAAATAAATAATGCTAAACGTCGTTTTTTTTCTGTTTCACTTTAGAATCAATGCAATCATTTTTCTGTTCGTTTCGTTCGATTCGTCGTCTCAACTAAAAGTCGCTTATTTAAACGTTCATTAACGTTGACAATAAAATATGATAAAACGAACGAATGACCGATCAGAAAAAGAAAGAATGAAAAAAAGCAGCCAATCCGCCGCACACTTTTGCATAAATTGAACATTTTAAGAGTTTTGCTATTGCCGTCTACTTGCAAATAATTATTGAAAACTAATTAAAAACCAAATGCGACTGATAATGTGAAAATTATTATTGATTTTGTGTGAATGAACGCGTTTTGTATTCAAATGGTACGTGGTAATTCTTAGAATTTTACTTCAGTTGCGCCTGTCGCAAGATGTGACTTATACGATGCTTTTCTAACGATGCTTTTATTTGTCGTTGTTTTATTTATTTAGCTGATTCCTTTTCGCCATTGCGTTGCGAGAAATATTGCACTTTGTGCATACGTTTATAGGACTGGTTTGAAGTTGAGTTCATTGCACACCGAGGAAACCGCGATCATTTCAAATCAAATTCTTGTCTATTACTGTCAACACCTTTTTTACATTGTAAATAAAAGGGAATTTATTATCGGTTGCCGCACACGCATATCGCATATTCATTGAAAAAAATCAATAAAGTATGGAATTCGTTTTCATTGTAACAACAATCAATCTCCGTCGTCTCTCTCCCAATCGAAACGAATTGCAGAAGCGTCATCATTTTGTTTTCACACAGATAGTTGAACCATTTATTTGAGAAATGAAGAGTTTAGCTTCTATCTGATTCGTGTGAGTGTATGCGTGCACACCGTTGTTGTTGTTGTTTTATTTCTCTCGTTCTTCAATCTCTTCTGTTGCTGTTAGCGTGGATTGATGATGATATTGGTAAGGAGGTCATTCATTCATCAAACTCATCGTCTTTGATGTGTTGGTTCGTTACCGCATACGGCAAGAATTCCGTGAGGCTGTTTTGTGTATTGGTATTTTTTTCATTGAACTTTATAAAATCGCATGCGCGTACGCGTTCGCGCATTAACTGGAAATTGAATGAATGTGTGCGCAAAAGGTTTTACGAATCACAAATTAACGGATAAAACAACACCACCAACAATATAGCGTCAATCGAATGTATAATTGATCAGTTCTCAGTTATTGTCTTAGCTTTGTCCAACGACAGTAACTGATTGTTTTTAAACCCATTTGGAGAAAAAAAAAATGCCGAAAACAATCAAACAAATGCATACATAATCTATTTGCATTAGAGGCCCAATTTTTTTCAGGTTTTTCGGGATACGCTTTTCCGGATACAATATTCCATAGTCGGTTAATTTAATTTATTTAAAACACATTGAATCCAAAAAAAGGGAAAAGGTTATAGTCATTGGCAATGGAATTTGACACGGTAAATGAGTCGATATGCAATGAGAATGTGCCACAGCCGAAATGCAATGCTGAAAGAAGTCAAAATGCATGCAAGACATTGTGTGCTGCCCTTAACAAGAAAAAAAAAACAAAAATAAATCTGAGAATCTCAATCACACAGAAGCAAAATAAAACACCATCTGAGACAAAGAAGAAAAGAGACAAAAGTTCGGCACAGTGGCATGAAGATATCACATCACTCGAAGTTTGATGCCAACTATACAAGAGATCAGCAATTAGTTAGATTTGCGTACAGTGGCGGTTTAGAATAAACCTGTAAAAATCAGGAACAAAAAAAAATGCGATTGACTAAATTACATTCGACCAAATGAAAACCAACAACAACTACCTAAATTAGAAGAGAATGAGTCGTATACAGGCGATCGAATTATGGTTGTGTTTGTCTGATTCGTAAAGTGTTCAATTGCAGTAAAAACAGATAAAATACACTCAAAACAAAAAAAAATATATCGATACAATATTACAACTCTCGCAAACACATACAAATGAGCGCACGAGGGATCACCTAACATAGACAACTAGAAGGCACATACCTACACACTAATTTCAACGTATACAGGTATTTTATTCTTCGTGTATTGTTGTTTTTTTTACTATTATTATTATTTCTTTTACGTACGTTCGTTCATTTGGTCTGTGTGTCGATGAACGATCGACACGGGTGTTTGTTGTCGGTCTGACTCTTTCTCGCCACAGTGATTTCGTCACACTGCCATAAACAATACACACAGCTAGCAACAAAACAACGACCCAAAACGACAAAAGACGGAACAGAGATAGAAGAAGAAGAAGAAAAAAAAACACACACACACACTACCTATCCACTTCCATCCAGTATGTGCATCGAACATTTTCACACAGCCAGTAAGTACATACACTTTCCATGGCTCAACTGACAAAAGTGATATAGTTAAACAAAATACAACAACAACAATAACATTAAAAAGCAACAGACAACGTTGAAGCACACAAACCAACAAACCAGAAATTCCAAATTGTAAGAAAAACATACCAATTGCTAAAACGCGTACAGCTCTTTTATAGCGTATTAAATACACGCAGTCCAAACGAGAAGAGCAGTCAAACAGCACATAACCAGTATGCGAGGTGATGCGTTGCCACGAATGAGATAGAACGAATGAATGTGTGTGATCACCTGGTGTAAAGCAGAATATATATTAAAAAAAAACGATTGTAAAACTGAAGTAATATTGGTATCTTTGCGCTGTCTCATCGTCAGTCCTATTTCTACCTTTCATCGGGTAATATCTCACAAGTCCATAATAACGAAAGACAGCGGTGGTCACCACACAACGACGGCTATTTCAAAAAAACGACAATTCAAAATTATTTATTATTATTATTATTTTATTTGATCAGTTTTAGTTATTCTTTTTTTCGCATTTTTTGTACAACTTTTGATTCGTATACATCACAATACAAAACACATCAACAAATTGACATAATTTCCATAGTGAAACTAATATAAAAACGAAGATACACATTTTTGGATTGTCGTCGCGTCGATGATGATAATAAATAAGAAAGTCGAATCGCTTAAATCGAACGTCTAATAGCTTCTAATAAAAAATAAATAAATAGTGACCCATCGTATCGAGAGATAACATTAATGCATCGAGCGCTTATGTTTTAACTTTTCGCCAGCTCAATTCAACGATTGATTGAAAACACCATTTCCATCTAAAAATCCAGCCATCAATGAGAAAAATTATATGCAACACAAGTGAAACGAAAGTCATCAACGTCGACAACAAAGCAGCAGTTCATTTTTTAAAAGTTCTTGACACACAAAAATCAGCATTTCTAAGACAAATTGATTAATAACAAACAAAAAAGAATTTTCGAAAAATTCGATCCGACTTTCATTCGCAATAATTTTCGCATTTTTTGAATATATAAATCAAAAACATTGAAATTGATTCGTTTGTTTGTGGTGGATTTTCTCGCGTTTTTAAATGACAACCAACAAAAGAAACATTTGAAAGAAAGACAGAAGTAAAAAAAAAAAATCGAATTCAACAACAACAACATCAAAAATCAATCAAACAAACAAGTAAATACCTATACATTTTTGTTAGTCAAGTGCGTTACTTGTTACGGTCGTGTGTTTTTTTTTTCGTCTCTCTCTTCATCTTTGGCTGTTTGTGTGTGAGAGACTCTTTTATTTCGGTGAAAGAGACAGAGATAAACAAGAAAAAAATAATAATAAATAAATAAAAGAAAGAGACTCTGTTGTTATTTTCGCGCAATTAACGTTGTGGACATTTCATTTTATTAATAAGTCATCGCCATCGCATCGTGCGTATCATTTACCACTTGTGTTCGAACCACAACCTCCTTTTTCGTTGTCGTTGTTGTTGTTGTCGTCGTCGATGTAAAAGTACACAGCAAATACGTATATGTATATATCGATAGACTTTGGTATATATTGAAAACGTCCATTTGTACGCAGCGCGCACAAACCACCGTACGATCGAACACCATTGAATAACAGCGAAAGAACGAGATAGAGTGCTAACATCAACTGTGTGCTTGGACCGTGCAGAGCACACACAATATCAACAGGTTGTGGTACACAATATCAACCGATTGTTGTTGTTTCGTCGTTGTTTTTTTTTTTTTTAAATTGAAGTCAAGAGAAAAGAGAAAAAAATATATACAGATAGATATAAAAATATATACAAAAAAAAAAGAAATAATGTGTACGACGATGAGAGTGTCTTAGTGTGAATATAAGCGCGCGCATCCAACAACAAATCAGTGTTCCAACATCAAAACGAATGCGATCGAACGAAGAGTCATTGTGACTCGTGTAAAAGAATCCACAAGTAAGTAAATGAAAAGTAACCAAAATATAAATATATTTGCGAATCAGAAATGAAATCTTTACACACCTATATATTCAAATATGAAATGACAAACCATTAAAATAGAATTTTTCTCACTTGGTTCGCATTGATTGAATATTGACATTTGTCAAATATTGAAAGAGAGATGAAAAATACGCACGTTACAGTCACATCACACAACTTAACGTTTTTTTTTTGTCGAAAACGAAAAACAATGCATTTTTAGTGAGTGCACGAATTGTAGAGAAAAGAAGATTTAACAAAAACAAAATACCGTTCACTTTGCCATTAGATTCGCATGACAATTGATGCACCGTTGTAAACAAGAAACAGCATGTTTTGCGTACAATAATTACCGAAACAACAACGAGACAATTCATAAAAAGAATTTTTCGGTTTCGGTGATGAAAAAGTGCGATAGACATACACCGATACACTTGTGTTAACTGGGAATTTTTAAGAATTAACAGACATATTTGTGTGTTTGAAGAATTGTGGAAATCAACAAAACGTTGATACAGTAGCAATTGCAGTATGAACCGGTCAATAGCATTGAAATAAACACCACGTTTTGAGTGTGCAATTCAACTTTTATCCATTGATTACGAACATTGAGACATTTTCAATTTGGCACAAAATTATCGCAAAATTCATATGTAAGTTTGTCGTTTTCGTTGATTTTTTTCCATTCAACGTATGTCGATCGGATTGCGAAATAAAGTGCAAAAGAAGCGGAAAGACTTAAAAGAGTCGAAAAGAGATGAACCAATGCCCACCATAATTTCCATTTCAATTCATTCCGATTTTGAATGCGTATTTGAAGAAATAAAATAGTACATTGAATACTTATACGCAACGAAAACTGAATTGGACTTGGGAATTGAAAGTTAATGACAGTATTATATTCGACCGGAGAAAATCATTAAACATGCAAGTGCTTTCATAATCATGCATATACACGTTGTTGTTGTTGCTGTTGCTTTTTTCTTCAATCCATTCCAGCAGGCCAATGTAGGTTATGCTTATTTCATGTGTCTGCATACAATTTTATGCAGCACCAGTGCAACCAGTGAATATACACAGGTGAATTGGTGATTGTTTCACACGCTCAAAGAAGGGTCCCCCCGTCTGTTACTTGTCGCTGCAATTGGTTTTTTGTTGGTGTTTTGTCGGGCTAGACCAATTTTTAAATGACAATTAACTACTTTTTTTCGACTAATTTGTCCGACGATGGTCTGCTATGACAAAATGGTCAAAATGAATTTCGGACATATAGAATTTCTAGTCGCTTGTCGTTCAATTGAAATCTTTCCACATGTGTGAGTTGTTTTTATTTTTTGGTTTCGATCATTTGTTCCCCCTTCTTTATTCTACCTGTTGCAATTGAATCGTCGACGTCTCTGTCTCTCACTCTCATTCTATATGTCACTATCGCAATCCACCAAAAATACACGCATATATATTCGGCCCAATAACTCAAAAATGCAATATATTTCAACAGCAACATTTTGTGTAATGGCTCGATAGTCACGGCCCAAAACATACGAAAATGATGAAAAGAGAAGCGAACAAATAAACAAAAAATGTGTGTGTATATATATATAAAATGTATAGTTTTGTATGGGCTAGTGAATCTACATATCATTACACATTATTTTCACTAGGTACTATCATTATGTATTGTACGATTCATTTTTGCCATCAAAATAATCATTATCTAAATGATAGGTCATTAAGTAATCATTTCCAATAATGAATTTTTACGGTTGTTCCAATAGATTTTGATGTTGTATGTGTGTTGTCGTCGATAAATTGTTGTCGTTTTGCCAATATCCCCGCGAGGCGTCCATTTCGTAGCTCGACAAACGATAACAACGACGATAAATGAACGAAGAAAAAAAAATTAGAGTTACGCACACCAATGATAATAATATCGAGTATGCGAGTCGAAAAGAGCAATTTTGTATGCGGACTTTTTATTTTCCACTTCGGTTTCATATTACAAAATGTATCAGAGAATCTCTGCACTCATTTGATCACTTGTTGCAAATCGATAATTTCCTTTGATGGGAAGAGAATAGAGAGAAGGAAAAAAAACAAATCACAAATTATGAAGAAAACACATACACAATTTCTATTCATAAATAGATGATATGATGATTCAATTGCAAATTGCAATGGGCAATGCGATTACACAATGCTGAACGAATGAGAGCCGAGATATGGTGTAGCCGTTAACCGGCGCGGCAGCTTAACAGTAATTATAACCACATTAAATGCGCTAATGTAAAATGTCGCATTTTATTACATATCGCCACCGTCTGACATGTCTATGAACATTGTACGATTGTCGATTAACTCTCCTTCCGCATGCATTTTCGCTTAAATTGGCGCAACACGATTAAAAATACGTAAGATTCAAAATGATCAATAACATTTAGTTCAACGATTCGATTAGAATTCCGACTTCGAAATATTGAACACGTTTTTAACATCGATTAATTTAGCATATCAAAAGCATCTCTTATCAGCATCAATCTATTGTTACGAATAATAGTCGTAGACTGTCATTGAACATGATTGCGCATGAATTACGGTTTAACTGCATCAAATGCAGTATAATTTTCTTCAAATCCCGCTAAGCAATTGTCGAACAAAAGATTTCGACGATGTGTGTGTGTGTGTTTGTGCATAGCAACACAAAGGACGAACCACAATCACTGCGAAACGGTCCAGGTTTCTTCTAACGATTCGTTTTTGTATTATTTTTTTTTATTCAATCATTATATTTTAATGTCATTGCAATTAATAGATACTTAAGTGCAGTCGAATTAGTGGTCGTTAAAACAATATAATCGGTCGATTTGCGAACTCGCCGCCTGACACTAGCTGAATAATAAAGCAATTGACACACAAAAAATGAGGATGAGTTTGCCATTTTGTATGTACTTGTACACACCGTCTTCATCATTATATTGCAAATATATATATCTATATGAAAATTAAAACCCAACACAAATTAGTTGAAATAGAATCGCTGGAATATGTCATTATATTCGAATGGGCCCATGCCATTAGACATTTGTTATTCGTAACGATGATTGTCTTCTTTTCTTGTATTCCAACTTCTTTTTTTTCATATTGGCTCACTTCATTTAAGTCAATCAAAATAACAAAGTCGTACGTTTACAAAATCACAATAATTAACCGGTATGAACGTGAGTATGTTTATGTGGTGGATCGTGGCCCGGTCACAAATCATAAACAGTAATCAATAAAAATGAAATATACAATGTAGCATTTTCTGTATTGTTTCGTTAAGTTTTTTTTTATCATCGAAATGAAGCCCGTAAGGAAATAACTTACAGCATTTGGCATTTTTTTTGAGGCGAAAAACAAATGAAGCATCTTTAAATTTCAATATCGCGGCATTATTTTTGTTGTTTAAAATTTTAACCTTTGTAAATAGTCATGGTTTTGGGGTTAAAAGAACCGAAACAATGAAGAGAAACAACAATATTGTAGCACAAAAACAATAACTACTTATCAATGGCCTTACAAACATCAAAACATAAAGTCATTTGTTTTCCTTCAACCATCGTGCTGAACATTAAGAAAGGCAACACTCAATCACAAGCTCACACATACACGATGAGTGTTCGGTGTTCAACTAACACCGCCACGGCCAACTGCTGGCCCTATAACACTTCAGGCGGATATGCGATGCACAAAATGAATTTGGATTTTTTTTTTCGTTTGTTAAGTCCATATAAATGACTAAAAAAAAAACAAAACAATGAAATAAAAAAAAAAATATTATCATAAAGCGAGTGAAAAACGACCAAATATAAGTACAAATGAAAACATCGAATGGTATTAGGACCTTTTGTTATACAATTTTTTTAAAAAGAAGAAGAAGAAAAGACAAGAAGTGGTCAGCTATCATATTACGTGGCACTCGAACGAATCAAAACAGTTTTCGCATAAAAAACATGACATATGATCCAATGAATGGCGAGTAAATCGTAGAAAATAAAGAGCGAGTCAAGTATATATGCGCACAAAGTGATGGTTTGGGCATATATAAGCGCGCGCACGCTTTGTCGACCGCCCCAAAAATATTGTGTTCTCTTGTTGTGCACACAAGTGCACAGTGTTTTAATGAAGAAAAAAACACACGAACAAGAGCATTTATTACTATTTTTTGTGCATTACATGTCAAATGAAGACAAAAAAAATTAACTATACCTCTTGGTATATTCGTACATTCAAAAGTGGTGCAATCGCTAGCTGACAACGGTGCACGCGCAATTCACTATACATGACACACACATACAGTCCGGCGAAATTGTGTGTCGCCTAGTCTTTTTTTCTGTAAATAATATCGATTTAAACAGATCCAATTGACATCAACATACGCATTAAATACACCGTTTTTTTATCGTTGTCGCCAGTGTTTATTTTAATACTTTAGCTTAAAACTGGCAAATTTCGTTTATAATTTCTAAGAACGGATGACATTTTCCAAATTAAAAACAATTATAACATGTTTTCATTAGTGTTATTAATCTGATGACGCCCAACGTTTTGATTGATCCTTTAATTTTCGCTTGATTTTATGTACGGGTAAATACTTAAATAGATGTTCTAATGGGTAAATACTTAAATAGACGGTAAAGTGACAATTCTAAATCGGCCAAGAACGGCTAAAATGTTCAAATTTGCAAACAATTATAACGTGTTTTGCATTGGTGTCAATATTCATTTGACGCTTTGTTTGGTCCTTTAATGTTCGTTTTATTTGTGTACAATTGTGGTTGTTGTTTTTATGTAGCTGGTGCTATTTGCTGCGTTTCCACTTCATTAAAGTTGTTTTGAAACGTAGTTGATTTAGAACTTTGTACTTTGCATATATATATTTTTTCTCTCAACATTAAAAAAGCTGTCCGTCATGTAAACTCTCATGTATTAACTTGATT